GAGGAATCTCTCTCTCCTAAACAAGCTCTGAATGTTTCTAGCAAGTCTTGATCATTCGAAAGAATGCCTCAGGATCACAAGTTGGCAGGGTGCTTTAACTGCACTCTACTCGAATGCCATAATTTTATAGATTTTTTGCTGTACATATCCAAGAGGTTTCAAAGTTCTTCCAAGCATGACATTTTATTTTGGGATAATGCTATGTGTACACAATGATGCATATATAGCATTATACCCCCCTCACATGGAGATGGCCCACATACAATAAAATATTTGTGGATCACCTTCCATGTGAGAGGGGTGTAGGCCATTGTGTACACCATAAGGTGTACACATAGCAATATCCTTATTTCGAGGGAAACAACCTCTTAGTTGATTCAGGAAATTGTAGGAGCAAAATTCTTTTGCACATGGGTGCTGGGGGAGCAAAACACGACAATTTTGGGGTTTAACAACAATAGAATATGATTTCCGTTTGATTTGTGTTTCAATTATGAGTTTTTAGTTCATTTTGAATTTTCTATTTTGATGATTTGTTTTAAAATTGCTAAAAATCAATTGATTTATAATTCTAAAAACTTGTTTCTCAGGTCAAGATAGAAAATTAGAAAACGCATTTTATTAAAAATTTTGAGAAAATGTTTTATGATATTTTATTTCATGAAAATTTGATTATTCAGTAAAATAGAACAATCTCATGTCAATATGACATATACATTTTTAAAGTTGATTAATCGTACAATATTTTTACTCTCAAAAAAAAAACAAAATAATAGATTGAGTTGGCAAAATATAAAATTGAAAAATATAATTTTCATGTAAAAAAAAATAAGTGCTTGAATTATTTTTATTTTACTAGATTTTTTCAAAAAAAAAAATTGTGTAGATCACCAGAAAGAATTGGAACTATTTTTTTTTTATATAATTTTTTACTTTTTTATTTTTCAACATTATAACTTTTTTTAGTTTTATTTCATTTTTTTAATTTTAATTTATATTTATGTTTTTTGAATTTTAGTTTTTAAATTTTATTTCTTATTTTCAGAACATTCATTGAAAACACTCCAAACGTTAAATATGCGTTTTGACTTTTATGTTTTAACATTATTTTCGGAAATACATTTAAAAAAAACAAGTTTTGAGTGTCCTACTTTCAATTCATGCTCCTAGCTGTCTTAGCAACGCACCCGACTGATTCAAGTTTGCATGTAGTGCAAGGAAAATAAAGCTCAAGAAACAGGGAACTCAACTCACATGAAGAATTGGATGGTAAGAAAACTAGCATCTTATTCTGATATAAGGGTCCGTTTGATTGAAAAGAAGAAATTGAATTGAATTGAAAAAAAATTCCAAAAATTTGAATTACTTAAAAATTATTTTTCTGAAAATTGTAAATTATTGTGTTTGATTGATATAATTTTCCACGAGAAAAATATTGAAATAAAAGTATTTTTTACTGTTCATTTGACCTTATTTTACATGAAAATTATCAATTAAAAAGATATATTTTATTGATATTGAGAATGAAATTTGTTTCCATTGCCAAAAAAAAAAAACATTAAAAAAATTCAATAAATTAAAAAAAAATCATCTACCTTTTGATGTTCGTTTGACTTTGTTTTATATAAAAATTGTCAATTAAAGGAAAATATTTTTTTACAATAATTCTTAAAATTTGTTTTCGTTGCCAGTTCGTTCGACTTTGTTTTACATGAAAATTATCAATTAAAAGGAAATATTTTTTTACAATAATTCTTAAAATTTGTTTCCATTGCCCAAAAAGAAAAAAAAAATTGCTACGGTAAACCGGAAATTGAATTCTCACCATTTGGTGAGAATTCATTTTCCTCCAAAAGAAGGAAAAAGTTTATGTGGCACCAAAATGTGGAAAATGAATTCCTTGTAAATTTTTGCCAATCAAACACCCAAAACTTGAAAAGTTGGAATTCCAATTCCATTTTTCATGAAATTCAACTCCTATCAAACACACCCTAAGATTAAAATTCATAATACAGAAAACATTCCGTTGTCACTTATCAACTAACAGAATCCAAGAAATAAAATAGCTGGAAATAACACGAAGAATATCAAAGGGTATAAAACGTTTTTTATAATCTTTTGAACCTCAATATGACACAATGCACTGGCATCTTCGAAAGAAAACTCGTCATATATCCTCTTGTTTTATTCCACTCCATATCATCTGGTTACCTTGTAGCTCTGGATGATACAAAAACATCGAGAGCATCAATGGTAGAGACATGAAAATATACTCACAAAATTGGTGAAGTATTAGGGCTAAATTGCCTATAAGCCTAAACAAGCATGGTTAACGAAATAATAGTTTCAACTAATCCTTTAAGGTTGTGTGCGTGCAGTCCATTTTCTGTCAAAATAGACAAGGCAAAAATATACCTTCACTCGTTTCACTAGCTCTTTAGCCTTTGGGTCATTCTTGAAATGATCTCTTACAGGCTGCACAGGGAAGACACAATGAATTAATCAGAGGCAATTGATAGAGAAGAATTATTTCTCTGCATACAAAGAAGCGGTCCAAGAAATCCTAGCTTAGTGTATCGAATAGATAAGAAATCAGTCGGCACAAATGCTACGTGTTCAACTTCTGAAAATTTTGAGTTCAAAAGCAAATCCCAACTCAAATTATTTGAATCAAATGAAGCTTGCGATTGATTCAAATGGCTTGAAGCAGCACCATCTCAAAGTTGGACGACAGTGAAGCGAATCAAGGCCTCAGGAACCTATTATAGTTTTTGAAGTCTTCTACTAGTTGGTTTATTCCTCTCACAAACCCGAAAACAAGACGAAAGAAAACAGATATGTAACATCACATGTAATGCATACTGCCACTTATTCTCTCAAATATGAATAAATAAGTGCAATAACAGTATTTACTATTTAGACTTCAAGCCAAGCAAGCAGACACGTGTACATGAAGAAGTAAAACAAACCAATACTATCATTATATTATCATTTCAACAGACAAACATATATGATGCAGATCAATGAAATTTGCACAAAAATCCTGGCTCTGGAGTGGGCTTGGGGTTGAGGTAGCCGCAAAAAGGGGACATCAGTGATATGAAACTACTTGTACGCACTAAAATTTATATAACCACGGGATTCAAGTGAGTAGAACATGCTCAAGCGGGTGTTTGGTGTGTGTGAATCAAATTACAATGACAAAATTTGAGTAGTCTCTTCTAACGTGGATAAGGGCACATAAAGTAGCAGGCCAACACGGCATCAATTCTTCAAAACTATAGACTTATTATTACGAGTCTCCCGAAAGAACTTGATATAGGAAGAATTATAAAAAAGAGAGGAGAAAATGGAGACACGGTTGTACAAATTTAATGAATCATTTAATTACATTAGGAGGAAAACTATTAAGATTCCACAGACAGAGTTAAAAGTTGGACAGAGAACCTGAAGTTTTTACTTTTTTATGTGTACAGATCTCAAACAATTGTTCCAACATTATTGTTTTGTTCATTACTTTTTTCTTGTAACAGCAGGTTTCCATGGTAAAGAAAAATTCATTCTAACTATTTTCCTTTTGTTTTGGTCCTTGTGGAAACAAATTGCCAATTGTGGATGCTTACTTCAGTATCGTGACATAACAAACAAAGGAAGTGTATCTTTAAAAGAAATAATTGACACAAGTGATTGCACATAAGAATAGATCTATCAGATATAACAATTTTAGACCAAAACAACGTCGTCGCCAAATATATATTCTATAACATGGTATACATGGCGATCAAGAAATTCCATTACAATACGAGTGTACGTTAGAAATTCATATTGTAAGCCTATTTTAGTTTGTCGATGAATAGAACCCCAACCCTCTCCTCATTCTTGATATTGGAATAAAAATTTCAATCACGGAAAACAAAACTTAAACATGACTAGAATTCTGTAGTTCAGACAAAATTATATCAAATACCTGTAGTATCAGGTTAAGAGTCTTTGCTAGAGCGGGTTTGAGGTCCCCGGGATGCAATTCCCCACTTTCATAATCAAATGCTAGTTCCTCAAAATTCTTGAAGGTCCTGAGATAATATGTAGCAAACATATTGAAATCACAGCGCATAAAAAGAATGCCATTAAGAAAGTAGTATGACCAACACAACACAAAGTAGTATATCATGGCAGAGGAACATATTTAAAATGATAATGAAACAAGTTATTCATTGAGATCATCTTGTTTATGAATAAAAATGAAAAGTATCTTAAACAACCAGATTTATACATATCAAACACTACTACATGAATAAAATAGAGGAAACAGATGGTATTTTACAAAATCATTAGAAATAAGTGTAACTCACTTGTCACCGCCATTATCCAAATTTCGCTCAACTTTGAACTCGTTGAACCATGGGAAAATAATATACTTGACGTACTCAAGGCATGGATTCTTTTCTACCACCTTTGGAGGGCAGAATGCTTTCTTTATTTTCACATTCACTTCAGCCTGTGGACGCAGAAATATCATTGATCGAAGCAATAGAACTACAAATTCGGATGAATATAGCTTAAAAAGCTCCAACACTCAAATAACAAAACAAATTTTACAATTTATTGATCATTTCCCTTTCCCGGACAAGGTAATACCTCTTCATCCTCCATGTATATGGAAGATGACGGATCACTCTTTGACATCTTTTCTTGACCTTCCTGCAAACCAGGGAGCATATCTGTGTGCAAAATAACAGTGAATATTAACTGCATAAAAATGTCAACTGGTACATGTAGTTCAAAGTCTAGAGGATGCTTACGATGGGACAATATTATGGGCTTGTTTTTTCTCTTTATGTCATCACAGTACTCTCTTGCAAGTACATTTACTTTGCGCTGGTCCATGCCCAACTGACAGATGTCGGCCTGTTTGGTAAATCATATTTGTGAAGTCCAATTCACATTTAATTAATAAGACAATTGCATTCAACCAAAATATTTCTCTTTATGAAGAAGGTTAACAGGACAACCACACCATAAAACTATCGCATAAGGACCAAATAAGATATTGTTCTGATTGCCCATTTTAGTTAAAATTCATAACTCAGAATACAGATTGTCCAAAGTGCATGAATTGAATGGAAGATGCCCTACATAAAGTGAGCAGTCAATTAGAGAGTGGTACAGACTGCATACATGATACATACTGAAATTATACCAGGCACCATATTAATTAGATATCAACAATACTGAAAGATAATGGTATCACATGGTCAAACCAAACAATAAATTCCTAGTTGACTTGAGAAAGACATACAACATGCTACCAAGAAGCCATAGAATTCAATAGAATTTACAACTAGCACTTCTCGTGAGGCGTTCATTTGAAAACTTTACACCAACAAATTGAACCAAGTAGCAAAAGTTTATCAACAAAGTCCATTGCTTAAACCAAGAGTCACCTTAAGAAAAAACACATCAGCACATTGCATGCACGGGTAAAAAATCTGGGCTGCCGACAATTCATCTTGATCAGAGCGACCCATAATTTGACAACACCTAATTAGATCACAAAATAAGAAAAAAACTGTAATGCCTTATATTCTCAAAGATTGCAGATTCAATAAGAAAAAACTGCAAATAAATGTAATACCTCACTATCCTAGGAAGTTTGTTCCTCCTAGCAATGTCCATTACAAGAGGCCAATACTCGTGAGCCCTGGCGTTAATCTCTTCAGAAGACCAAATAAATTCTACCAGACCCCCTTCCAGATTCATCCCTACAGCTTTCCATATCTCAATCAGATACTCTCCTATAACTTGGATTTTCTTCAAGTCACCCCCCATTTTGTTATTTAGCTGTGCAAACCAATCTGCGATCCAAATTTTAACTTTGCAGCCAGCAGAAGTCAGTTTGTTGACATTAATTGCTTTCATAACTCCCTGCTCAGCAAACATAACTGGCCCAATAAGAGATCGAGTGTTTACATAGTCCTGTTTATCCGGAAGACTGGAACAACTACGAAATGTCTTCTCATAGTTCTTTGGGGAAAAAAATCATCATTTAAAGTATTGGATGCAAATAGTAAACACAATATATTCATCTCTCCTATTAAATTGCATTAATAGCTTACTTATCTATGATTTCATTGAATCTCATACATGACATAATATATTACTCGAAGTTACAGGATTTTAGGAATGTAGATGAAAATAATAAGACTATTATCATAACAGTTAAACAAAGAGAGAGTAAATTTCTATTTATTGAATTATATGTAAAAATATATATATTATTTAAAATCAAAATAGAATATCATCCAATGATCTTCTAACAGAATTCACCACTGTCCCCGATTCTACGAAAGAAGAAAAAAAAACTAGCATATTGGGAAAACTAATTGAATTTTCAGCCAAAATTAGAAGAGAAAGAGTCAAGAGACCTGAGCAATGTGCATCCGGCCAGATGGTTCGAACCCATCATAGCAGATGGGCTGTGGCTTGTTAGCCAAGAGTCTCTTCAACTCATCCTCTTGTATACATTCTTCGCCAATGCTCCTTATTATCTCAAACCTTTCGTTCAAGCTCATCCTATATTCCATTCAACAATTCAATATCTATTATGAGCTTCGTTCCTAATTTATATTAAAAAAAAAAAGATACCAATTTCATAGTTTTCAACAGTTCAAAATAAAACTCAACAGAAACCAGACATAGAGAGAGAAGGTACTTACTGTGAGGAGGATTCAGGAGAAATGGAGAGATGTTGCAAGGGTTCGGAGGGAGGGGTTTCGCTGTTGTTCTCCATCGTGGTTCTTCCTCTGAATATGAGCTGAATTTTGTGCAGTGAATAAAAAATGGAGTTTATTAGGGTTTAGGATAAAAAAGATGAAAGTTTTGGAGAAGTGAGGGATTGCCTTTTGATGTACCGTAATTTGAAGTAAAAGCGTAAATTAATTGTTTGCTTGCTTGCCAGCCAAGAACGATATGCGTGCGAATCACGTGAGGAAAAATGGGACAATGGACTGGACAAAGAAAATGTTTGGTAAAGATTAAAATTAAATTTTTAATAGATTGTGATGTAAGTTTTAAAATGTGTGATTAAAAAGTTGTGGAATAATAAAAAATAGGAGTAATATTGATTATTTGACTTTAATTTAAATTAAAATCAAATTTTAATTCAAACCAAACAAGCCTTTAATTACACGAATAGGAACAAATGGTTTTACGTTTAGTTCATAAATATTATGTAATGGATCATTACAAATTTTCGAAAAAAATGGTTTTATCCACATATTCAACAGAATGCGAGAGAGGGAGAAGAAAAAAAATCAGTCGTATCTCTTCAATAAGAAAAAATCAGAATAGTGGAAAAATAGAGGGAGAAAAAGAAAAATTGTTTACATTGGGGAGGAGGAGGAGGGGAGGAAGAGAGAGAGAGAGAGGTTGTGAAATTTTTAGGTTTGAGATAAAATTATTACAGATTTTTTGTATTTATATTTATGGCTTGAAATCTTTCAAAATCTATCTAATTAATGAAATCTTTTTAAATCAATTAGTTATCGAAGACACCTAAATTTCTAAAGTACCTATTAAATTCTATATTGAAGACACTTAAATTTATAAGTATTTCTAAAAATTCAGATTGAGGACACTTACATTTTAATGAATTAAATTTTAATCTATATGGAGTTTTAAAATCTATCAAACTCTAGATTGAGGACACCCCCCTAAATCTTTCAATTTAAAAATGTTATCCAATCATGTTACAGTGCCAGAATCGTAGACATAATGATTGACATAACGCCACGTGACTCTCTATTATTAATTGTTATAGATTTTTGGTATTTATATTTATGGCTCGAAATCTTTTAAAAACTATCTAATTAATGAAATCTTTTTAAATCAATTATTTATTGAGGACGCCTAAATTTCTAAAGTACCTATTAAATTATATACCGAGGACACCTAAATTTATAAGTATTTCTAAAAATCCAGATTGAGGACACCTACATTTGAATGAATTAAATTTTAATCTAAATTGAGGACATCTCAATTTATATGGAGTTTTAAAATCAATCGAACTCTAAATTGATGACACCCCTTGCGTCTTCCGGTACTTGAAACAAAGGTAATGATGTGTGTACTCATCGCCCCTCCGATACGTAAGTCAGACAGAAGATTGTGCAAAAGTATATGATACAATTGTATTATTAAAGTGTACCTCAATAATAAGCCTTGGTCGTGTATTTATAGGTGTTGGTGATAGAATTGTAGGAGGATTCAACTACTTAGAGTCTTTTCCTCCTAGGGTTAGGTGTTTGAGTTTTGTTGAAAGTGTTCTACTTGAGTTTGGATCTAAGGAGGAGTATGTTAGACAATTAAGATAAGGATCCAAAGAATTATAGTTGGAGCATGATTACCTTTCCCCAGAAATTATGTTACTGGACACGTGGCCTGTAGTGGACAGTGAAACTCGACTTAAATCTATAGGCCCGATCTAAGTGGCCCAACCTCATATTGGGCTATTTAGGAAGAGTTGGTTGGCTCGACCCTATAAGCCCGACCTACATGAAGCCCGACCTCGTGAGGGTTTTAGGGAACATGTATGCTAGGGGTAAACACCTTGGGCTGTATATGAATGCTCGAGATCAGGTTACAATTTTTGTGCATATCACGAGCCCTCGTGCATCCATATCGGTAGCTCATGTGCAATGTGAGAGTTTCTAGCATGAGATGCATAAGAATAGGCATACTCATGTTGAGTTAATAGATCCCCAAGCACATTTGAAAGGGGCTCGACTATATCTTGTTAAAATCTTAAAAGAATGGAGCTCGACCTCGAGCTCATTAAAAGATTTCGAAAGGAAGGGCTTGATTCAGAGATTGTCAGAAACTTCAATTGAAGGAGCTCGACTTGAAGCTTGTTAAAGATATGAAGCGAATAGCTTGACCTGAAGCTTGTGAAAGACCTTAAGCGAAAGAGCTCGACCTGATGATTGTTAAAGACTTCAAGCAAAAGAGCTCGACCTGATGATTGTTAAAGACTTCAAGCAAAAGAGCTCGTCCTGATGATTGTTAAAGACCTCAGGCGAAAGAGCTCGACCTGATGATTGTTAAGACCTCAAGCGAAAGAGCTCGACCTGATGATCCTTAAAGACTTCGAGTGAAAGAGCTCGACCTGAAGCTTGTGAAAGACCTCAAGCAAAAGAGCTCGACCTGATGATTGTTAAAGACTTCAAGCGAAAGAGCTCGACTTGAAGCTTGTGAAAGACCTCAAGCGAAAGAGCTCGACCTCTGGCAAGCTTGATATGTGAGAGGCTCGACCACGAGCTCTGGAAAAGCTTGATATGTAAGAAGCTCGACCTCGAGCTCTGGTAAGCTTGATATGTGAGAGGCTCGACCTCGAGCTCTGGCAAAACTTGATATGTAAGAGGCTCAACCTCGAGCTCTAATAAAACCTCGACGTGTAAGAGGCTCGACCTCGAGCTCTAGCAAATCTTAATATTTGAGAGGCTCGACCTCGAGCTCTAGCAAAACTTGATATGTAAGAGGCTCGACCTCGAGCTCTAATAAAAACCTTGACGTGTAAGAGGCTCGACGTCGAGCGAGCTTGAGTGTAAGAGGCCCGACCCCGAGCTCTAGCAAAAACTTGACATGTAAGAGGCTCGGCCTCGTGCTTTTGGCAAGCTTGATGTGTAAGAGGCCCGACCTCAAGATCTCACAAAAGGGTTGGACCTCCAGCTTTGTCCAGGTGTGTACTGAAAGGCTTGAGCTCGAGCTCACGCTCTTTGCTGGGATTTTGGCAATGTATTGAGCTCGAGGATAGGCTCCCAAACCTTTGGTTGGAATAGACCAGTGGTTGAAATTTTTACTTAATGCATTGTGAGACATAGAGGTGCTTGCGCGGGGCAAGACTTTGAGATGCATGCTCGGGGACAAGGCTTAGAGGTGCTTGTTCGGGGGGCAAGGCTTAGAGATGCTTCTTCGGGGGCAAGGCTTAGAGGTGCTTGCTCGAAGGAAAGGCTTAGAATGCTTGCTCGGGGGCAAGGCTTAGAGTACTTGCACGGGGCAATGCTTAAAGGTACTTGCTCGGGGGCAATGCTTAGAGTGTTTGCTCGGGGGCAAGGCTTTGAGCGCTTGCACGGGGCAAGGCTTAAAGCGCTTGCTCGAGGGTAAGACTTTGAGCGCTTGCACGGGGCAAGACTTAGAGGTGCTTGCTCGGGGGCAAGGCTTAGAGTGCTTGCGCAGGCAAGGCTTTGAGTGCTTACACGGGGCAAAGCTTAGAGGTATTTGCTCGAGAGCAAGGCTTCGAATGCTTGCACGGGGTAAGACATAGAGGTGCTTGCTCGGGGGCAAAGCTTTCAGTGCTTGAGTGGAGCAAGGCTTTCATGTGCTATCATGGGTTGGAAGAGTAGATTTTTATTGGGGTGGCATCCCGACACCTAACCGGAATAAGTTGAAAAGTATAGGCACGCAGGCCTGACCAACTAACAAACTAATATGGGCACGCAAACCCGACCAGCTAAAAGATAATACGGGCGCGCAAGCCCTACCAATTACGAAATAAAAATAAATGGGGCATAAAAACATGTAAGACCCTAGTACATTAGATGTATGGCATTGACCATCTAGACAATGACATTGACCGTCCCCGCCGTTGGTCCATTGCTGTCCCCAGTCCCTGAGGTATTTGCCTAGTTATGATCATTCCTCGAATGCTTGTCTTGACTGACATATGCACCTAGGAATCCTCTCTTGATTAAAGACTCGATCTCGCGCTACAAGGCTTTGCATGTCTCTGTGGTATGTCCATGGTCTTGATGAAACTCACAATATTTGTTCGTGTCCTGGGGCTTAGAAGAGGACTTCATCCTTGACGGCCATTTGAGCTCTTTCATATCCTTGATCTTCATCAAAATGTTAGATCTTGTGATATTCATGTGAGCAAAGGCTGTTGAAGGGTTATCATGCCTTGTCTTACCCCGAGGCTGATCTTGATGCAGATTAAGCTCATGCTGCCTTTTAAGCTCGGGCTTAGCTGATGGTGGGGCATCTCTCTTTGGAAACATAGTCTCTTCCATGTTGATGTAATTCTCGGCTCGAGTAAGTAGGTCGGTTACTTACGTAGGAGGGGTCTTTGATAGAGATATCTTGAACGCTTCACACCTTATGGCACGTGTTAAGGTCGAGACTGTGGCTATAATATGGAGGTCTGGAATCTGGAGTCTTTCCTTATTGAATCTGGTCATGAAGTTGCGAAGGGATTTATTCTGCCCATGTCGAAGTTAAATGGGGAGAAGCTGTTGTTTTCCTGATGCACTTGCTGCTGGCGAAGAAGGCGGAGAACTTATCGACTAGATCCGAGAAAGAGGCTAGGCTCCAAAGTTGAAAACCAGTCTCGGGCTGCGTTGATCAACGTTTGAGGAAAAGCTCTACACATAACTTGATCGGGAGCAACTTAGAGATTCATGACGTTGGTATAAATGTTCAGATGGTTGATAGGGTCAATAGTACCATCATACTCTTTCACACGAGGGTACTTGAACCTGTCAGGTAGAGAAAAGGATAATATTTCAGGAGTAAAAGGAGTGCTAGGAGTAAAGTCTGTTGACCCCTTAGCTTTCTGTGCTAGGCTCGCGATAATTCCTTCTTGGATGATTCTGGCAAGTTCACACGATTCCATCATTACTGCCCTTGAGGCTACAGTCATAGGAGGTACACTCGAGGTTCCAACACCGTTATTAGGAATATTTTGTGGAGCTCGAATTCGAGCTCGAGCAGTTGCCATCAGATCACCATCCGATGTCGGTGTATGCAATGGGTGTGAGTTCATTTGGCTTAACAACTGAGTTAATGCGGTAACTTGTTGGAGGAGCTCTTCGAAAGCTCCGACGGTAATGACGGTCGGTGGTGGTACTGCCATTTCTGATGATTCCTCTTGAGGGATAGGATGATCTTCAGGGGGAGGATTTGGAACAGATGAGCTTACTTGTGGAAGACCTGATCGTGTATTCACCATGGCTTTTGGTAGCGCTTCCCACAGATGGCGCCAATGATGCTACCAAAAATTGTATTTGGTAGATCCCAAGCTTGAGGACTAAGATGGAATACGAACTGCGCCTTTCGGTACCTGAAACAAAGGCAAAGAGGTATGTGCTCGTCGCCCCTCCGATGCTTAAGTCAAACAGAAGATTGTGCAAAAGTATATGATACAATTGTATTATAAAAGCGTACATCAATAATGAGCCTTGACTATTTATAGGTGTTGGTGATAGAATTGTAGGAGGATTCAACTACTTAGAGTCCTTTCCTCCTAGGGTTAGGTGTTTGAGTTTTGTCGAAAGTGTTCTACTTGAGTTTGGATCTAAGGAGGAGTATGTTAGACAATTAAGATAATGATTCAAAGAATTATACCTGGAGCATGATTACCTTTCCCCAGAAATTATGTTACCGGACACGTGGCCTGTAGTGGACAGTGAAACCCGACCTAAATCTATAGGCCCAACCTCAAATTGGGCAATTTAGGAAGAGTTGGTTGGCCCGACCTTGTAAGCCCGACCTACATAAAGCCCAACCTTTGAGGGTTTTGGGAACATGTATGGTCAGGGTAAACACCTCGGGCTGTACATGAATGCTCGAGTCAGATGTAATAATGTTTTTTTTTAAATGAGTAATTAAAAAAAAGAAATTTTTTATATTTATTGTAATATTATTTTATGAAAGATTAGATTGTTGAATATAAAAGAGAAAAAAAAAATATAATGAAATGAAAATTGACAAGGACGAAACGGGGGCTAATAATAACACCAAATTTCATTACAAACCCTAATTGCTTTCCTCTCCTTTCTCTCTCACACACATCACAACTTTTAGTCGTCGGCATCCCAGTTCCCAATCGTCTTCATCGTCATTATCGTCAGTAACGATTGACCCATGATTCGTTCATTTGTCCCAGCCTCAAAAGCTACTTTCTAGTGGTTACGGGTCTCTATGTCTAACATAAAAATGTGTAAATCTGTGGTGAACGATGGTGCTTGGTTTGTAATGGTATGAGTGGTGGTGATCTGTGCATGCTGTGGTGTGTGTGGATCAATTCGATGGTGTTCTGTCCGTGATGTGGTGTGTACAGTGATGCTAGTCATGGTGTTGGTAGTGGGGGTGTGGTGGTTGCGGGTCTCTGTGTCTAACATAAAAAGGTGTGAATCTATGGTGTACGGTGGTGCTTGGTTTGTAATGGTATGAGCGGTGGCGATCTGTGCATGCTGTGGTGTGTGTGGATCTATGCGATGGTGTTCTGTGCGTGATGTGGTGTGTATAGTGATGCTAGTCATGGTGTTGGTAGTGGGGGTGCGGTGGGTGGGTGGGTAGGTGGAAGTGGGGGGATAGCATGATTTTTTTAGGGGTTTTGGGTTGGTTTCTTTCTCCAATCTACTTGGTCAGAGTTTTGGGAGTATGCAATGATGGTGTGCGGTGTAGTGGTAGTTTTACGGTTATGGTAGTCGTGTTTGCAATTTGCGATGCTGCAGTTGGATAGGCTTAGCGACGATGGTTTTAGGTTGGTTTATTCTTCCAATCTTCTTGGTCGACAATTTGGGAGTGTGTGGTGTGGGCCGTGTGGTGCGATGGTGGTGGCGTCTACGACGCTAAGTTCTATTGGTGTCCCCTGGTGGAATGGGGATTGGGATCGATTAATAGGTTCGGGTGTGGGGTAGGTGATATTTGTAACTAACTATTTAGGTGATTTGTGGTAGTGGCGCGATTGTAGATAGGGTGAGATATTTGTGATCAATTATTTGGTTGATTGTGATATAAAAAAAATTGATTAATTTGTGATCAATAGTTAATACATAACTTAAAGAATATGATTGTGACTCATAATTTATTAAATTATGATCAAGAAATAACACATGATCAATTTATTTTATAATTTGTGACCGTTAAATAAGTTGCGACTCACAAATTTTGTAATTTGTGATCGATGATTAAATTGTGATACATAAAATTTTTGATTTGTGTCCGAATAAGTGCTTTATAACCAACTAATTCAATATTTTGACCAAATTGTATAGAGTCGTGATCTTAATAAATAAAATTTAACTATTATTTTATTTTTGAAGCTTTAAACCTTATTTCTTTGTTTTTGAAATGGATCATACTTAATCTCTCATATATGAAAATTTTCATAAGATGTAATTCATGTATGCCATGCAAATTGTTTAGTTATTTTTGATAATGGAAATTTAATTCATAATAATTGAGTTCATGCAGGATTCTAGCACAAAATTAAATTCATATATGATTTTGGTACATGAGATAAATAGGTTATTCAAACCTCATACCATAAAGAATCTAACTCAACAAGGTCTCCCGCTTCAAGCGAGAGATCATAGCATAGTTTGTCCTCATTAGGAGCATCAATGGATCGAGCAAAGTCGACTCGATCCTTAAACGCCAAAGTTCAACTTGACCTTATGAATGAGAGGAGCTCGGCTCATGTCCAAAATAAGGATTCAATTTAGTCGATCTCATGAACCGAGTCATAAATGAGTCGATTGTGTGTTTTTTTATTTTTATTTTTTGAAAAAATAATTAACAAAATAAGCCTAAAATAAACAATTTTCTAAAAAATAATAAAACAAGTCAAAAAATACATCAATCCATGAGTTCTAACGAACCAACTCGTGCCCACGAGCTCCGACAAGCCGTTCCCTAGCCGAGCTTGCTCAACCCATGAAAAAATGTGAACTCAATTTGAACCATGTGTTGTTTCAAAACGAGTCAAAGTCGTCCATAGACCAAGCCGACAAACAATTCAACCCATTTGCCACCCTAATGTCGGCCCATAATCAATCTGGTTTGGATTATGGCCTTGTTTGACACATATTATTAGAAAAATGAATTTTGTTACGTGTATAGAATATTTGTAAACCATTGTTGATAGTCCTCTCACATGAGGTGGTGGGGTTTGAAATTAAAATAATGGTAGATCTGACTTCATGTGAGAGGGCTGTCAAAATTGATGTACAAATATGCTATACACATAGCAAAATTGTAAAATTAAAAAGTTTTGTATAGTATTTTTAAAAAATGTGTAGTTAAATTATAATTTTTTTTAATTGATTTGTATGTAAAATATTTTATTATGAGCGTTGGCGAAAACAATTTAAATTTGTAAAGGTCGTTAAAGGCTAAACAAAGGGTTTCCAACAGTTCACATTCACCCGAGGTTTTATCGCTCGTAATACATCAAAGGCAAAAGAGGATCCGGAATTTGAACACAAAAAGGGCATGGCGGCGCATATCAGAAACCCCAAATAATTCTCTTCGAATACCAGTGAGTAGGCTTCTCATCTTGGTCCTATTTTAAAACCCTAATCGAAGCCTATTCTCAATTCTCTTAAATAGTCTGCTGGATTTTTAAAATCTTGCTTTCTATATTATACAATTTTAATCTTATTGTCTAGAATTTTAAAGACTACACCTCATAATCATTAGCACGAGTGCATGGCCATGAGGAAACAAGTGCGGCTTTCAGATACTGTGCCAATTGATTGCCCAGATTTATTTCTGCTGGCGGTCTAAATTAGTGGCGTGAATATGATGTTTTGATTGCCTTACTCATCTGAGTGCATGTATGTGCGTAGTATATTTATTTTGAAATATGATTTTCTGCAGTGGTGTACCATTTTGTATATTTTTAGGTAAGAAGGTTGTAAGTACTTTATCTTGGAAATTAGAAGAAAAGAATAGAATTGTGGTGTCAATTTATTTCAATTAAACTTCTAGGAAGATATTTCAACGGGACCAAGTGGATAGAGAGAGGAAGATGATGAATTATAACAGGTACTGATGATGGGTTTTTTCAGTATCCAGATGTATCTCCTGGTGCGGCCAAATTGTGCCTGTGCCGAGCATCCGAGATATGTGAAACCATTGATTTCCTCCTTTTTTCCGATTCCCCTCTCCATCCATTATTAGATTAACCATTGCTATTTATATAAAAGTTCACGTTGATCAGATTGGTTGTTTATGTATTAAAATTACCTTTTAAGTTTCTTATAATGCACATGATGAGTCTAGGTATGATCTGCTGCTTCATGTGCACATGAGTAATACTTGGTTTAACATACAAGTGTTGCTTGGAATGTTAGTTTTAGTGTTTAACTCTCATCACACCTTACTAACGACCACCATTTCCATATGGCACATTCTTCAGTTAAGCTCCAGTGGAATGGGTGATTATACTCTAAATTGCATGGGAGGATCTATTTTTCTTTTTATTATATACGTTTTGAAAATGGACAGCTAAGATATACTGCTTCTGTGAAAGAGAAGTGTACGGAAATTCTCTGTTTAAGACATTGTCTAATTTAGTTCGGGCGTCAGACTTTCTCTTCTCCTACCGTACCTTTTACGGAAATAAAATTTGTCTTATTTTTTCACGTTTACTGCAGCCTGGACTGTAAAATTTCATGGCTGAGAATCATTGAAAGGGGATAAGAATTATAGGCGGTGAAAGTTTCAATGGGAAGAGTGGATGCAAATAATAAGTATTTTGTTACCTTTCATCAGAAAAACAATGATTTGGTATCCCTTTCTTGTTCATGTACCCAAAATCCGCCGACTAGTCTTCCAAATTTCTCTCTTTTCCTCAACTAGCCACCGAAGACTAATATTTTCATTACCTTTCCATTAATTTTCCTCCTCCAGATCACTCCAAAACCCTGATAATCTTGACAAGAATCCAAATATTTTCAGCCACAAAGACTGGTTAAGCCCATCTGAAGTCATCAAGATTTTCGGAAACCTCTAAGACCCAAATTTAATACTTCCTCGCTTTACTCAAAATTTCAGGCTGCAAAGACTACAAACCAAATGAAGTTGCTTTTTCTGTGCTCGATGAATTTCTTAAGCAAAAATGCAGGCCTAATGCATACCTTTTTTTACTATGATGCACAGGCTTTGTGAGCGTGGTCGCGTTGATGAAGCCTTCATTGGAAAGGACAGAGGGTGTGAAGCCAGATATATTAGTGTTTAATATCTTGAATTTGGTGCTCAGGAAACAAAGGAGAGTTGAAGAGGGGATTAAGCTTTTCGATAGAATGATGCTTAAAGGGTGTGATCCAAATTCTGGGACTTATCAAGAGGTTTTGTATTGTTTGCTTGATGCGAAGAGGTTTGTTGAAGCGAAGGATTTTATGAAGAAGATGACTGACAAAGGGGTGATACCAAGCTTTGAGTCTTAAAAGTTTGCTGATACATGGTTTTTGTATCGAGAATCTTGTGGAAGATTTAGATTGGGCATCCAGGAAAATGGTAAGGCATGGATTTGTGCCAAAAAAGCGAATATGGGAGTGAGTTCTTCATTATGTGTTCTTGAATGGTCATATTGCTAATTCTGATCATATTTCGTACAAAGAAATTATCAAGAACACATCTTATGCGAACCTAAAGGTCATCACAATGTTTAACTATTGCTATGCTATGTGTCCTACCAAGGTAGCTGACAGATCTGTCTGCAGCCTCTGGAGAAGCAGTGAAAGCTGCTACAACCTTTGTTGAAGACTTCCATTTCTCTGGTTACATTATTGAAACAACTGAGGGGATATGCGCACGTTCAATAGTGAGGGTGAATACAGTTTTACTGTTCAAATGATCTGAGATCTCAATCCAACTTTTGACAAGCACTGGTTCAAACTTGTACTTGCTCACCTTCCTGCAGAATAAGGATATAGATTACTCCGCAAGTTCAGGAACGAAAGGAACAGATGAAGGTGGTGAATTTTCAGTTTTTTGAGAAGATGTTAGGATGTTTCCAGGATTGCCGTGCACACCTTGGATCTGCTGGAGAGTTGAGCAACGTAGCTGAAACCTGATATGCAAGAGGATTGTTCCTACACGAGATTCAATTAATCAGAGAATTGGATTGTTCAAGTTCTTAGCAAACCAAGTTACCATTGCTTGCTTTTTTCTTGTGATCCAACGAGGTACAAGAGGTGCTCGAAATTCCTAGTGGGGAGAGGTCTTTTGATGATCCTGTTGCTTAAGAAAACATCTGGGGAAATTATACTCTGCAAATCTAGTCTGCTTCTATAGAGTGGGAAATATACGTTTTACTGGCAGAATGTTGTTTCCTTATCTTGATGAAACTTGAAAGTGCAAATATATCTGGAAAATTATTAGAGACATGAAAGACTATAATGATGGCCAATGCATTATACTGCCAATCATCCTCGTAGTGTGCGTGTATATATATTTGGTGACTCGGGTATTCTAGCTTCGCCCACCCAATTAATTCCGAGGACTGGCAGCGAACAGGACCTCCGGAGGAGCTGCGAAGTGTATCATAATTTTGCCTCCATAGGACGTCCGTCTTTTAATATAAATGCTGTTTTCCAGCTGTCACGGAGATTCGAACCTCTGATGTTTCGTATAGAACCTTGCTTTACTAGTGTGCCTGCCCATAGGGCACCCTCGTGGTATATTTTTCTTTTGTAAAAGCACCATGGGCCGTCAATTACTCTACTTTCTCTTGAACCTTGAATAAAAGTCACTCTTGCCGTAAGCTTGACTAAGAGTTTCTTGTTTTCATCTTGCACCTTCCAAGGATGTAGAATAAGCTAGATTAAGATTCTAATTTGGTTGGAACAAAATCTTATGTTATGTGCACACTTAAAGAAGCTCGTGTTTATAAAAGTGATGTAAACAGAGTAAAACATACAAGAAAAAAGCCATACCTAGTTGACATCATTTAGATGCTTTCGAGTTTCTCGGCAATGAAATCACTATTAGATAGCCATAATAGTGAACTCTTGTCGAGAGAGCACACTAATTTCACCTCTTCCCAAAGAAACACAGTTAGATAGTACTTAAGAAATAAACATCCCCAAACTCTATAATTAACAAACTTATGAGCAAAGTTTACAAATACTGCACATGCTTCTCCAAAAGTAAAAGCTTCTGCTTGAATATGTTGTGTAGAATTTAGAATCTGCTAAAAAGTGCACAACAAGCAGAGACTACTTCAGATTAGTTATCAGTCCATCGCTCTCAGAATCTTCTGGAATGACTCTGGTTACCTGTTCCGTATCATTTACTGCAGCTCATTTTGAACTAGTACCAGAGAAGGCCTCCTCTGTCTGATTGATATCGTCCTTGGACTTGAAAGAGTTATTTCCACAATGAGATGCTGCACTAGAAACGACTGATTCTGTAACCTCAAGTGGGACATCTGTTGCTGATGGAGGAGATGAGTAATTGGAAGAGTCACACAGCGAAGCAGTGTCATTATCTGATGGAGTTGATCTGTATTCGGCTTTAAACTGCCCAGATTCTTTCCGCGGAAGGTCATACATTAAGCTTTTTCCATTCTCTTTCTCATCATCTTTTTGCGTCTCTGCAGAATATGGAGCAGCAATGGTATCCTCTAGTATCAATTTCGTGTCAATTTCCTTGTTATTCAACGCGTTAAAATTATCGGGTGGAGACAGTTCAGGCTCAACAAGACAATTGGATTTGTCCGTGGTTCTTGTACCCCTGTGAAACACCAACCTGAGCTTTCGTAAACCCTTCCAAATTGAATTCGTTGACAGAGGTTTATTAGCATCCACACTTCCATCAGTGCTGCTACTGCCATTTGGACTGAAGGTCAATGGTGGAGAGCCAATTGGATCAGCACCCTCATTCTGAAGTTGGCGACCCTCAAGGTGATGAATTTCAAGGTGCTGGCTCTTACCCTTCCGTTGCTCACACATTGGTACAACCTCTCGACGTGGATGATGAATCCAAATCCCAGTATCCTGTCGCCCTTTGATATCAATTGGCTCAAACTCATCCGTAACTGTTCTCTAAGTAGAAAAACAAAAACAAAAACGCCTTATTTGACAATTTGTATAACCATATACAATTTGGGAATATAATAAAGTGTAACCTTCAAGAAGTACCAGGCATCTAAGCAATTTCAGCACATTTATCTCGCATAAACATATACAAACAAAAGTTACCTTTGCAGTGCGCGCAGACACAGTTACTGCAAGATGCAATCTTCCATTATTTACGTTCTCAAGGAACAGCCACATGTCATGCCTCTTGCCATCCCTAAGATCGTTGATTGTTACAGAACAATCTCTGCGCCATTTTGTACAATTAGTTTAAAGTAAATGCAAAAGGCACAAAGAAAATGGATACTCAGACAGTAGCTTCTGTGAGCAGTTGAAACAAAGCAGTGAAGCTCGTTGTTATCGCTCTATAGGCATGTAAAATGACAAAAAAGGATAGTAGCTAATAACATTGATTCAGTTGGCATTGACATAAAAGGAATATTTTGTCTATTAAGGAGTATTTCCAAACCAGATTCAAAGCAAAGAAAAATACATCGATTCCATAACAAATATAAATATGTTATTTGATCATCTGTTAATGAGATTTGAATAGGTACAGATATAACAGTTGAAGGATATTCATATTAGGTTGGATTTTTGTTCATTCGCTCTGCTATAATAAACCAAAATAAAATTGCAATCAAAAAATAGTTGAAAGAGGCTTGGACTCACTAACTAGAAAGCAGGACAATTTTCCTTTAAGCACGACTCTACATGCAGCCAACAAAAGCAGCTGCTTTTAGGCACAGTCAAACACCTTCGGGATAAGGGAAAAGATGAGCAAAAACATAAGTTTCAGAGATCAATAGATGTGAAGTAGCTTTTCTAAGCTGAAAACTAAAGTCTGTGAGTAGAATGAATAAGAAAGGATCCAAGACAGAAAATATCTTAAAGGGGAGACACCACAGGTACTCAGGGAATAAAAAGCATAATCCCACTTCATAACAGTAAAAAATCATATCTTCATTTAGAAACATAACGTCCAGAAAATATCATGCATGATTCAGTGAAATGTGCTATTTTGAAGTAGCAAGAACACACCCCAATACGTCATCAACAAAATGGTCCTCGTCACGAACTTCGATGATGAGCACATTTGGTGAATCCCATGTATTGATAGGGATCTCGAATTCCTCATGCCATTGCGGAGCCAAACTTTCCTTCTGAGGCTTAGTATGAAATCTATAAGGGCCAAGTTGTCCCTTCACATATGGAACAGCCCATCCTGAGAATCACCACCAGTTAGAATCACACAATTTCTGGAATATTTTATAACTATCAGAGTACTTCAAACTAACCATTTAATTCTGATGGCTTCATGTCAGCTGCTTCAAGAATTTCCACTATAGCATAAGCAACAGGCTCCTCAGCATCAAACGAGGAAAAATTTTCTAATATAAATAGAAGACAAATCAATAAATTGAAGGAAAGATATTAAATTTAGCGCACAAAAAAAATAAAAAATAAAAAAATAAACTGTGGTATTGACTATTAAGTACCCACATTATTATTCAATTTGATCCCAGAACCAAATCTAATATCTATTGAGTTTGACATATACTGACAAGAAGCAACATATGTACCAATTGTGCATTTATTGATGACATTCGTTGTATTATAACTGAACCAAACAGAGTGATGGGAACCCCCAAATAAAACACCTGGAATTCCAAATGTTTTTCTTTGCTGGGCTTCCAAAAATTTTATGGGTGCAGTCATACATCTGGCATCTATATAGACTCTCTCTTCCAAGGAAAATTGTAAAGTTTCCATAGAGAAGCCTACACTCTTCCTGATTGGCTATTGACAGATCATATTATCACTTAACTGTTAGTATCTTGTAAACCAAAGTTCTTTTTATCTAAAACAGACTTACCTGAATCATATGAACTTGCATTAGATTTGAAATAATATCATGACAAATAAAACCCAACTCCTTGCAACAAGCACTTGAAAATCAAATACCAAGTCAAAGTTAAAACCTTGCTGAGGTGAAGTGAATTTCTCAACATCAACCACCAGCATATTGGGCTGCAAATTTACAAAGAATTAGACAACAAAGACATATTATGGAATGCTTCTAGCATCTCAAACCTACACAGTGGTGGTAATCTGATTTGAAAAGGAATAAAAATACTCCTTATGCTAAAAACAACTAAAAGAAGAAAAATGAACATACGTGTTAGGCTAGTTTATATACTAGGAACTAAGCTAATAGTCTGACCTGCACTAGAGTTTGCTCGAAGGCAAGGGCCAGAAGATTATCCTAATCAAGAAAAAAAATGCTTGTAATTAGGCAGACAAATGCATAGGGAAAGAAGGAATATTTTAATCGTTATTGTTTTCTAGGGGAATAGGTGCGGGGTAACACTATGGATAAATAGACAGAAGGATTAATAGCGGTGGTAATAAAATGTACTTACTAGCCATCCAGCTATCCCAGGAAGTTCTGTAACATCAAACCCATGAGAGAATATTGGCTTTGCATTCATCTGAAAATATGGTGGCTCAGCAAAGCATACACGCAGACGCCCAAGAAAGGGCCACTTGCTAATGAACTTCACCCCAATCAATACCTACAAGATAGAAAGTGCATAAATCTTCCACCAAACGTGTCAATTCGTCGGGTAGGTAAAACATTCCCCACTGGTTATGATCAACAAGGCCAATACTCATTATCCCACTTAAGCTAAAATTGCAATCTTCTGAGATTTGGACATGTTTACAAAACGTCAAATACTAATAAGATTTGTATAATCTAGGATGACTATTTTTGCAAAAAATATGCCTATGTTTGGCCCCCATTTTTTCATAAACTCATTTTTAAAAACTCATTTTCAACTGCACTTTCTCCAAAAAATCACTATTCTAAAACTCATTTTCCCCCAAATTTCCATTAAAATGGAGCCCAAACAAGGGCTAATTTCAAAATCCAAACAAGTGAAAAAATTAAAGTAATCTAAAAGAGATATATTTTTGACAAAAGTATAATGTGATATTAATTCTAAATTTCATGAGAATCAACATAAGACCCATAAACTTTTCAAACTTTTTATAGAGTCTGATGCACTGACTGAAGCATTGATGTTACTTCCACAAACCTTTCCTTCAACATGCATGCCTAACAAATGCAATGCTGCACACATTCCTAAACCCAATCTTTTCTTCACTGTCAGGGCAAGTTTCGCACTCATATCATCTGCAGTAAGAAAATTCATTCCCAATTCCAACACCTGCAGTTAGCAGATATACATTAAAGTTGATGTACCAGGGAATATACACTAAAAAGGCTCAAAAGGCACTGTATGAGCAAAGATAACTGTTTTCTAGTGATCCTGGCATACCAAGTGATCGTCTCCATTGGATTCTCGAAGCACCCTCATTTCGGTGAATATAGGTGGGGATCTTCCCAAGTACAAATGCTGAACAACAGCATCATTCTGGATACATGCAAAATATTATTCTCATTAATTAAAAATGAAATCTAAGCAGGGTCCGAGGCTCCTAGAGTCAGATTATCACAACAGCCACAGTTGCAACCCATTACCATCCAGTGATGATTCTCACAGTTAAAACTAACTTAATTTCCAAATAACACACCATAAAACAGAAAATGGAAGTGTACTCCAGCATTGAAGTCTTCCAGAAATGAATTTGGTAAGAAATTAAATGATGCCAAAATAACTCGTACCACTATCCAAGGTTTATATTTTTGCAGGAACCATGGAACAATAGGGAGAAGAATTTTCTGAGAAACGATCTGTTCCACGCAGACAAGCCAGATTTTTTCAATAGCATAGTTCAACCACCTCACTGTCTCAAATTGTGAAAGCACCTACCAAAGAAAGTAGGAAATACAAATACTCAAGAGCTTCCCGTTCACATGAATCTACTAAAACAAAGTTTAAACTCCCATGAAGAAAATGAATTATTCAGAAAGGCCCACCAACAACAAAGAGTATGCACAGAGAAAAATATCAAATTAAAAAAATAAAAGATAAAAAAAATAAAATAAAAAAATATGTGTGTGTGTGTGTGTGTATCCATTTTCACTTCTTTTTTGGGTTATTTTACTTCTTTTCCTAATTTCCCTTTTTTCCCTACATAAGAAAAAGAAAAAAGGAAAAAAAAAAGAAAAAGAAAAAGAAGAGGAGTGGCACTGGCATTTTGATCATCAACTAGACAAAGAAAAATTGAAGAAATAACATTTTCTACCCGTTTTTGATTGGATTGTCTTCTGTCCTCAAACCGCACTTTGCCTCTCAATCTCATCACATACCGCTCATGGACCTTCAAATTCAACATAGAAATAACTCCATATTTAAATTACTTTTCGAAAAAAAGAAGAAGAAGAAATCGCAAAAAAGCTGTTGTCTACACAGATGAATGAACTCACATGATAGAGATAGACGAGGGAAAGAATGTAGGCAACTGGGTGGCAACAGTTGACAGAATTGAGTAACCATAGCAAAAGCAGCACTAAGCATATATGATGAATTAATTTTACCTCCAATATACTACCCATCTTCCAAATTGAAATCAACACTTTACAAGATCAACTTAATATACAAACATGCATGTATAGATATATAATTGGCCATCAATTACATTCATTCCCAATTTTCCATAAATATATATTAAAAAAATACATAAATAATGCAAGGTAAATGAATTTGGCGGAAAAGCCAGACGCTGACCAAGACATTTCTTTTTCGGCTACAATTCAGATTGAAGATGATTGGAGGATTTCTTCTTTCGTCTGGTTTCTATCCCCAAAAAATTTGCATAAATAGTCTCCAACATTTAGACATAAAGAAAACGCATCCCCAAGCTTTAAAATCAGACTTTTGAGTCCCTAACGTTTGGCGTTGTGCACCGTTATCGAGGGAAAACAGAACTGGCCGACCTTCATTGGCACAGTACTTTTTAGCATTCTCTATTAATTTGTTTAATGTCCATAAACTCCAAAAATAACAATTATAACATACTGCATAAATAGTCTCCAACATTTAGACATAAAGAAAACGCATCCCCAAGCTTTAAAATCAGACTTTTGAGTCCCTAACGTTTGGGGTTGTGCACCGTTATCGAGGGAAAACAGAACTGGCCGACCTTCATTGGCACAGTACTTTTTAGCATTCTCTATTAATTTGTTTAATGTCCATAAACTCCAAAAATAACAATTATAACATATATGTGACTCATTTACGAAGTTTGATACTACTTTTACTTCGCAAATTCGTTACGGGCAAGCACCCGCCAACAAATGTGGGGGCGAAATATGTGGGCTGCTACTAGTTAAGCTCCCGTTTGGCCCCCATTATATCTTTTTTTTCTCTCTCTCTCTTTTAAAAAAAAAAAAAATATCACTGTAAGTAAGAACTATAATTTCAACAGTAGTAAATAAAATTGACATAATAAATGTAAGTGGATCGATCAAATAGCTGAATTCTTAAAAAGTAAATCATTATTGATTGTCTAAAACCATACATATTAATAGATACAACTACTATTTATTTGCCAAATAGACTGATTAATTGAAAAAATCTTGATTGTGTTTAACAATAAAATACTCAGAAAGACCACATACAACGTGGGACCATATTCTAAATTGATCGCTAATATTTGATTGTAAATTCTTTCACTTGTACTGTTGCAGTGACCTATCACTAATAAATTTTTCATTTTTTTGCCCCCGTCAAAACCAAGGGCTTAATTGTCAAAATGTCCTCCAACAGTTGGATGGACAATTAAAGTTTTACTACATGTGATAGACAATGCATTATGTTGAATACTAAAGCAAAACGATAATGAGTTGAAAATGCGATTTAATGGAAATTAATAGCTGCCAAATGGGGGCTAAAAATTTTCGCCTTGTAGACGAGATTAGATAAACAAAAAATATATTTTGGATTATATCATTTCGCCTAGTTCGCCTCTCCCATGATTTTCCAAACCTCTGTGATCTATCTTCCCTCCATGATGCGACAAAATGGACCTGCAATTTGTATATAAAAGCTTAAACGTGATTTTCCAAACCAACCAACCAGGATTCTCTCTATCTGCTCTACATAATGCAACAAAATCGACCCTGCAATTGCATATAAAAACTTCAAAATATGATGAAATTGCACCGTTGATTATCATAGCAGGAAAATGACGAGGACATTGACTAAATCTATGGTGACTTTCATTAGCCATGCACCAAATATTCATGCTGTAGCTAAATTCATATTCACAATATTTGTATTATGATAAAGTGATTCATATGGCACTCGACCAACGCTATTAGCAAGAATTCACCTTTGGTGACAACAGAAAAACCATTCCAAACAAGTAATGGAACATACTGTCCTAGTTAAAATAGATAAGGTAGGTAACAAAGTGATAATCACATTTGCCTATTGCAATGTCTAATAGAATGTTGAAACATACAGTACAAGTTTCCCCAAATGTGCACAAATTTACAGAAAGTTTTGTAAGCAACATTTACGATTACTGCACAAACATCTCGAAAGAAAAAACTTCTGCTAAGAAAAATCAACATATAGAACACCATATACACCTGAAATAACAACAAAACAACATAAACAATCGGCTAAAAGCGTACGCAAACAAAAGGGGAAAAAAAACAAAACAAAACGATTACCTAAGGCATTTCAATCCGAACATGTTACTGCACAAACCTTCTCAAAGTATTCTAACAACTTAATCCACTCCGTCATATCTATGACTAAACCAGATCGTTTTTTCAGATTGATTATCAGCTTATTGTCTCACAATCTTTTGGAATGACTTCCGTTTTTTGGTCCATACTATTTATGTAGGCTCATTTCCTTCTAGAATGACTTTTCTGTTCCATATTACTTGTTTACTGTCGGCTCATTTTGAGTCTGAACAATATCATCCTTAGACTTGAAAGAATTCGAACCATAAAGGGCTTCCATATGATTGATATTGTCCTTGGTCTTGAAAGAGTTATTGTCAGAACGAGATGCTGCAACAGAAACATTTGAACCTGGAATAACTAAACTAGTAACCCCAATTGGTACGTCTGTTGATGATAGAAGAGACGAGTCATCAGAAGAATCATGATGTGAAGCATTGTCATTATCTGATGGTGTTGATCCCGAGTCAGTTTCAGATATCCTTGATTCTTTCCGTGAAAAGGTGGATTTCAAGCTTTTTCCAGAATGCTTCAATATGCCTTTATCAATATCCTTCGCATGCACTTCTAGTGGGCTGTCCAGCGCACTTGGCTCTCGACTCTCTTTCTCTATTAGAGCCTTTGCAGAATATGGAGTAGCAACAGTATCATCTATTATCAATTTCACGCCAATATCCTTGCTATTTAAGGCCCTAATGTTAGCGTGAGGAGATGATACAGGCTCAGGCTCAGGCTCGGGCTCAATGAGACACTTGGATTTCTCCTCGGTTTGTAGGGTTCGTGGGGTTCGTGGGCTCCTGTGGAACACTGAGCTGAGCTTTCGTAAACCCTGTCGAACTGGATTTATTGAACGTGGCCTTTTAGCATCTACACTTTCATCAATGCTACTGGAGGTCGATGCTCGGGAGCCAATTGAATCACCACCCTCGGCCTGAACTTGTCCATCAAGGCGATGAGTTTCAAGGTGCCTACTCTTCCCCTTTCGTGGCTCCCACACTTGTGCAACCTCATTACCTGGCTGATGAATCCAAATCCCAGTCCCTCGTTGCCCTTCAATGTCAATCGGCTCAAACTTGTCTGCAACTTTCGGGGACTTCTCAGATGATCTAGATGAGGAGCCTCTCTGAGCAGCATCAGCTGCGACTGAATTTCCCCTGTGCTCATCGTCAAAACCTTCTGCGTCGCATGTGTTTTCTGCACGCTGCAAACAATCAGTGACTTCAGCATCTTAGAAGTCATACTGCATCATCCATTTGACAGTAAATTTAAATGTAAAACAGCATCACATTCTAGCACTTTAAGCCCGTTTCATTCCAGATCAAACCTTCTGCCATACCCCAACTAAAGGCAATCCAGTATATTCTATAAACAATAAGGTACAGAGCCACAATGCTTCAATATCACAAAATTAACGTTAATTCCAGAGACCAATATATGCATCGTCTCTGAAAGAGATGGCCAGAAAACTAACTACAAGCATGTTTAGGAAGTGTTTATAAACGGTTTAAGAGTATAAATGATAGAAATGAGTGGTGAATAAGTGGGCAGTCCTTGTGGGCCCATTGAAATGTGCAGATAAAAAGTGTATTGAAGTTTTTATATCAGCTTATAAACATAACCATACATAGGCCACATCCCAAATTTTCGTCTTTTATCCGAAGTCCTAATATCTTAATCATTGGCAGTTTGGCACCATCAGATTCTGTTTGAAAATAGTGTTGTAAGCTAGCACTTAATTTATATTGCTCCCATCATGACTTCAGAAGTATAGATGTAATTCGTGGGTTTTAACAATGAATTAACATTGAATAAAAGTTGGGAACAAAATTCTGGTAATGAAATTAAGGCACAAACGGTTGGCAATGTACGTCATTTTCCCAATTTATGCATGTCCAATGACATCTCCAAATCTAACATTCAAGCATATTTCCTTGAGAAGCTTCTACACGTCTTCAGATTATGAAGAAAAAATAATGGTAAAATGATCAGATTAAACAAGTATCATGAAATCATTTTTTTCTTTTTTTCTTTTTTAAGGAAATAACATATTGAAGATAAATGTGACTTGCTATTCCCTGTATATTGAATTTTTATGTATTGACTCCTAATCGAATTGTTTGGGATTAAGCAGTGAAAGAAATCATTTTATCTACTAAGAGTGATCAGATTGATTATTACCAATCATTCCCCTAGCCGTAAGGCTACAATATATATCCATTTTGACAGAGGACTGATTAAATAATGAAAATAAAATACTTGAGCTTATTTTGATATAAAAGGATAAGTAACAATCTAGTATATTTAATAAACTCTTTTATTTGCTTGTATTATTTTACTCCCTTTTCAGCACAGCAGCAGCCAACTTTTCTTCTACTTCTATTTTTGAAACCTACAGGCCAGCCCCCCTCTTCAACCACTAATCGTATTATTGGATAATTCATATATATAAGAAAAAACACAAGCATTCAGACACACACAGAGACAGATGCAGATACCCAGTTAACGAAAATCATTTCCTGTTTTATACAATTCTCCATTAAAATTTAATCCAATGAAATAGAAAAGAAACGGAATTGTTTGAAAATGTAGAAAGTAAAACAATGGCATTTATTCTCGTTATTACACTCAAATCATTTAATAATCGAAAATTTATATTCATCATTAACTCATTGTGGCAGTACAAAACAAAATTCATTTCCTGTTATATATAATTGTTCTTTTATAAATATAGTTCAATTGAATAGATAAAGAACCGGAATTGTTTTGAAAATGCTGAAAGTAAAAACAATGGATCCTGCCCTAAGATAAACAAACACTTGCCAGTATTTAGGGTTTCAAAAACAAGAGAAATATGGAGTGAACTTCAAAGGAAGTGTCAGGCATCTAAGAATTTGCTTTGCATTCATTGGCCCTACACAAAAAATACCTTTGTATTGGCTTCGGACACAGTTATTGCAAGATGCAATCTTCCCATTTTTATGTTCTCAAGGGACAACCACATGTCATGCCTCTGGCCATCCTTTAGATCATTGATGTTTACAGAACAATCTCTGCACCATTTGCATAATTAGTTTAAACAGATGCAAAAACAGTAAAAAGAAATTGAAACCACTGAACAGTAACTTCTATGAGAAGTTCAAATATAGAAGTAAAGCTTTAGTGATTATCAGAATCATTACTCTCTTGGTACGTAAAATGACCGCAATAGTATCAGAAGGAACCAAAATAAAAATGCAATCAATTCTTGAATCGAACACAGTTATATTTTAAATAACATATGGGATGTTAGAGATTACTAAAACCAGTTGAAAGAGGATTGGATAGCCAATTGGAAAGCAGGACTATTTTCGTTAATCTAATAGAATAATAAGTTTTATGCTACTGACTCTTTGGAATAATTATGTCAATTAACTTTTCCAGAATCCTCTGGGATAAGGGAACAAATAAGCAAAAGCATAGGCTTCCAGAAGATGAATTGAGCTGAAGCAGTTTTTCAAATTGCAAAATTGCCTGTAAATAAAATTAAGACATAACAATATCTTACAGGGGAGACAAGACACCACAGATACTTAAAGCAAATAAAAAGCACAGGCCCCTTCATAGCAGTAAGCAATCAAACTTCATTAAGAAACAAAACGTTCCAAAAATTGTCATGCATAATTCAGCATATATATTGAAGTAACAAGAACACACCCCAATTCATCGTCAAATAGATGATCCTTATCACGAACTTCGATGATGAGCACATTTGGTGATTCCCATGTACAGATAGGGATCTGGAATTCCTCGTACCATTTTGGAGATAAATTTTTCTTCTGAATCTTGGTCCGAAATCTGTAAGGGCCAAGCTGACCCTTAACATATGGATCAGCCAACCCTGAGAATCACTGCCAGTTACAATCAAAAAAAGTTTAGGCATATAATAATCAGAGTTCTTCAAACTAACCGTTTAAGTCTGATGGCTTCATGTCAGCAGCTTCAAGAACTTCCACTTTGGCATAGGCAATAGGCTCCTTGGCATCAATTGAGAACCAATTTTCTGTCATATAAAAGAGAAATCAATATAGTAAACGAAAGACATGTTGCAGAAAGAAATCGTATTCTGTGGTATTGAGTGCGCATGTTATTATTCAATTTGATCTCAGATTTAAATCTAATCCTATTGAGTTTGACATGTACTGACAAAAAATGGAATACTGATTCTGAATTTAATTATTGATTAAGCTTTTTCAGTTAAAGTCATTCTTTTTCATTACCTCAGTATCCCATCTTTTCAATGACCTCATAACACAACTACAAGGTCTATTTAAGACCGCAAAAAAGTCAAGCCAAGGTCCATTTAGACTTCTGCCAGTTTTTTTGTGATTAAATTGAACAATACTTATGCTTGACCTTAAGCATCCTTAAACTCTGGTAGAAACTATTAAAATACGGATAAATATGTTATACTATCAGTGCTACATCCTCCATTTTTGAGAATGGTCTTTCTACTTCAGAATAAATTTTTCAGTGCAGTCACAAAATTCGGATTGATTTAGAGCCGATTTGGCATAGCTTTTGCTTTTCGTAGAAGAGTTTTAAAAGAAGCTATCTTAATTTTTGTTTGAAAATTAATATTTAAAAGCACTTTTCATTTCGAAAGTGTTTTTAGAGAAATCCACATTGTACCAACTTCCTCTTAAAGCTCTTCAAACTATAAAAACACTGTAACAAAATTAGCCAAATGAATCTAAAAGCAACTTTTGAATCTCAAAAGCTCTTTTTGGCTTTTCAAAAGTCACTTTTAGCTTTTTGAAAACATGCCAAATGGGCCCTTAGACTCTCCAATTATAAAGTATCTAAGTGGTCTACACTCTTCCTGATTGGCTATTGACGAATCATATTATCACTTAATTGAGTAGTCTCTCGTGAAGCAAAGTTGTTTACATAGAAAGGGTAATGACATGACTCATATGAACCAGTACTAGATTTGAAAATTGTATCATGGTAAATAAAACCGAACAACTTGCAACAAAGATTTTAAAATCAAATACTTGGTAAAAGTTAAACCTTTTTGAGGTGAAGCAAATTTCTCGACATCTACCACCAGCATATTGGGCTGCAAAATGAAAAAGAATTAGAGTACAAAAGCATTTTATGAAACCCTTCTTGCATCTCGAACAGACATGGTGCTTGTGCCTTATCTGATTTGAATATGAGGATAAACATATTAGATGTTTCTAAGAGGAACCAGCTGTAATCTCACCTGCACAAGAGTTTGTTCGAAGGCAAGAGCCAGCAGATTATCCTAATCAATAAAACAAAAAATATGTAATTATTAGGCAAACAGATGCAGAAAAACGAGGAACTTTTTATTAATTACTATTTTTTTTTTTCAGGGTGAGGGATTGGATTAGACTTTGGATGATAAAAAGAGAGTGAGAGAGAAGGAATTTTTGTTGTGGTAATAATAACATGTACTTACTATCCATCCAGCAATCCCAGGAAGTTCAGTAACATCAAGGCCATGAGAGAATATAGGTTTCACAATCATCTGAAAATACGGTGGCTCCGCAAAGCATACCCGCAAACGCCCAAGATAAGGCCAGTAGGGAAGGAATTTTACCCCAATCAAAACCTGCAAGAGAGAGAGTGCATAAGACTTCCTTCGAAATCAGTCGTACTTGTGTCATTTCATCGTGTATGTAAACAATGCCACTGGTTGGCAATCAATAGCTTAATATGCATCTAGGCATCTTCTTAGAATTGGACAAAACTGGTAACGAAATATCAAATTCTCTAACATTTGTACAATCTAAGATTACTACTTTTGCAAATAATACATTTCAATATCCAAACGATTTAATATGTAATATTATTCTAAATTTCATCCGAAGCAACATATGACCCATAACCTTTTCTAACGATCGATACAAGAAATCGATGCACTGATTGAAGAATTATTTACTACATGATATAACCTTTTGCTTACCTTTCCTTCAACATGCATGCCTAACAAATGCAACTTTGCCCGCAGTCCTAAACCCAATCTTTTTGTCAGTTTCACTGCAATTATAGCACTCATATCATCTGCAGTACGAAAATTCATTCCCAATTCCAACACCTGCAGTTAGTGAATATATGTTAAAATTGCTGTCACTGAGTGTATGCATATATAGCTCAAAAGCCAATGTATTTACACTCAGAACCCTGTTACTAGTGACCCTAACATACCAAGTGATCATCACCATTGGATTCCGGAAGCACCCTCATTTCAGTGAATATAGGTGGGGATCTTCCCAAGTACAAATGCTGAACCACAGCATCCTTCTGCGTACATGCAAAATATGATTCTCGTTAATTGAAATCAGAACTGCAGTAGGATCCCAGTGTAAGATAATCACAAGAGCCACAGTTGTAAACAATTAACCATCCCTATAACCATTTATCAACATTAGTTATGGAAGCATAATCCAGCATCGAAGTCTTCCAGAAATGACTTCAGTAAACAATTAAATGATCACCATAATAGGCTGGATTTAACTCGTACCACAGTCCAAGGTTTATATTTTTGTAGAAACCATGGAACAATTGGGAGAAGAATTTTCTGAGAAATTATATCTTCCACGCAGACAAGCCATATCTTTTCAATAGCATGGTTCAACCACTTCACAGTTTCCGAATCCGAGAGCACCTACCAAAAAAAGGGAACACAGAGACTGAAAAGCCTTCCATTTACATGGATCTACTAAAATGGTAGTTCATCTCCAGTTAAAAAGGAAAAAGAGAAAAAAAATTATTCAACAACGCCCCCACCGTTTATAAAGATTAAAGTGTATGCACAGACATAAAGATCAAAGCATAAAAAATTCTTTCCTTTATTCACCTCTCTCTATTGAATTAACCCCCCATCCCCATCAAAAGAAAAAAAAAANAGTCACATGCAGGTTCATTATTGATTACGTTCACACCATAGATATCTATAGTTAGTGTATACAATAGTTAGTGTATAGATATATGGTTTATAATTTCTAAGGTATGGGGTTTTTCCCGGCGATTAGAAACGATGTCGTATGTGTTAAGGAATGCCGCGAAAAGAGCAACACCGCCCAAAATTCAAGATTTACATAACCCTATTCCAGATATTCAGATTGATGATGACTTTTTGGGTATTTTTTTTTTTTTTTATTTTTTCCGGAGGATGAAGTTTATTTATTTATTTATTTTGTACAGAACTGGAGCGCTGGCTGGCGGTTAAGTTCTACGTGTCGAAGACACGTATAAGACGTGGGCGACGGGGGGACTCAATGGTGGAGATCTGGTGCAATTGCAGTTTCTACAATTGGCTGTATAAACTTGTACATTTAGGACATGCTGCCCTTTAAAATTTGCATTATGGATACCCAGTTTTACATATTTGTTTCATGTTGATCACTAAACTTGTTTTAATTTTACCTCTTAAACTTATATTATTGAATAATGATATTTATCACCTCTGATGATCATTACAAGTCTATGCAGCAGTAGGATTACTTTGAACTGTAATTGAGATGCATTTTTATACATCCAAACGTTGATGAACAAAACTAACGATATCCATATTATTGTATCTGTTGAATATTTTGCCCTAATTTAAAAGAGTTTGTTTGGGAAAAATAAGTTTTTGAATGGTGATTTGTTTGTGGAATGTGTAGTTAAACAGTAAAATAAAATTTGAATTTATATGTAAAATATTTTATTATGAAAATTTGAAAAACAATTATTTTAATAATTTTCAAAGAAGGGCTTAATTTGATTTTCATGTAAACAATATAGAAATTAACTGCATTCATGACATGACCATTAGAATGTTTGACATGATTAAAGGACGGTTTCTCAAATCCCATTGGTGTAGTAACGAATAGAATCATTTTTTAAAATGTCCATAGACTGAATGGTTAAATTGAAATGAAAATATAAGTAGTGGATCAAATTGAATTTGAAAGATTAACAAATAACAATCATGGAAAATTCACATTTTTAAATGTTGTACCTAATATCCCTTGGTACTATTATTTCTTGAACCTTATGGTTTCTCAATGCAGAGAATACTAGATACAGGATGGGACATTCTGTCGGCAAACAGAGTAGGTTGAAACGGTGTCACTTTTTGTGGGGTACGATTTAATTGTTTGTCAATCAGGAACTGTGCAGGACGGACATCTATGTCCAAGAAGATTTATCTGCTCATATTCTTTAAAAAAAAAAATACATTTTTAAATAATAATTTGACATTAATTCAATCACACATTTTTCAATAAAATAACACTACACATAAATTCAAAAGAATTTCTTATTTTTTAATCACATATTTTCAATTAATATACTATTGAAAAATACATTATTATGAAAATAATGTTACTCAAACTAAATCACATTTTAAAAAGTTTAATTTATAAATTGTTGAAGATACAATTTAATAGTTTGTCACTAGTGATGGTGAAAATATTTGTCCCGCCCTTTCCCAACGGGACCCCACCTCGAATGGGACAAAAAAAACTCGACCTGAACGGGTTGGCTGGGGCGACGTGGGGCAAGGCAGGACCCAAACCCGCGTCTTGAAGGAAAAAATAAAAAAAGAAGATTAAAAATAATTTTATTTCTAAACAATTCATCGTTAAAAATTCATTTTGAATTTATATTTTATTTTCCAATAATAACATAACTCGACACTTTGAAAATGTGCAAAAAAAAATGATGGGGCAAAAAGTTCCCCCATCCCAGCCCCTCTAAGGCAAGGTGGGGCGGCGTGGGGGTGCCCCGTCCCGAACCTGCCCCGTTTCTATCCCTATTTGACACTCCGCATGTTGAGCCAATTTAATTATTTACTTGTAGTTACTTGACTCAAGAGACTTTGTATTTAAAAGTTGGACGTTGTTGTGTGTAAAGAAAATATAAACACGGAACAGCTACAGAACAGACACAACAACAAGGTGGGTGGGTGCGTGGGTTTTTGCATTATTTTATTTACCGGCACCCACCTCGATGTGAGATTTCTATAGATTTTCTGTAAAAATATTATCTGTACACATGGAAAAATTCTTAAAAGTTCATTTTATGCTAGTATTTTAAGTTTAAAATAAATAAATTACACTATAATAATTTTCTCAATTTTGAATCTTTACTTGATTTTTTAATAAATATATATTTTTCGTTATCTTTTATTCAAAATATTTGTAAAATATCAACGAACAACCAAATCAAAAAGTCAAACTCACTCTAACGTAAGGATTAAAATCAAATTTTTAGTAGATTTTGATTGAAATTAATAAAATGTGTTGTTGAAAAGTTTTGGACCCATAAAATACATGGTTAAAATTAATTATTAACAATAACTTATATTAAAATTTTAATTTTAATTCCTACAAAATAGGAATTTTATATTTTAAAAAATTAATATAAAATTTTGTCGTGATCATCGTAAACTCTATATAAAAAGTTAAGACAAAATAAAAATGTCAAATTAAACTATTTTTTTATTATTATTATTTGTAGCGTAGAAATTGGGACACTATATTTGACCAGATGAGCTCGATAATATTCTTCTCTTGTAGCTACCCAAAAAGATAAAATGCCATTTTCAAATCTTTAAATCACAAAATGTCACTTTCTTATCAGATTATAGTCAAATCAAAGGTGTACAAATTCAAGTCTCCATCCCCACAGTACATTGGCATTCCGCGATACGTCTAATTACTACGAATTTCAATTATTTCTCTTTACTTGTTTTCTAATTAATCTAAGGCTTCGTTTGGTAGTCATTTTTTTAAAAAATATATTTTTCTCTTTCTTTTTTTCAATCACACATTTTTTATTAAAATAATATTACACGTAAATCAAAAAAATTTCCTTATCTCTCAACCACACATTTCACATTAATTTACTATTCTAAAATATATTTTTACATAAAAATGTCTATCAAATACCCGCTAACTCGAACTTCTAAGGAAAATTTTGAATTTTTGAATTGTTTATCATCGATAAATAATTAGCATAGAAATGGTTTTGAAAAACTAAGTTTTATACAAGAACCTCGCCCCACTTAAGGGAAAAAACCAGATATCCATGAAGGAGGTGAATTATGGAAGATTGACTACGTAGGTTGGTGACCATTTCAAAACTTACTGGACCATTTGGCTGGTCCTGTACAGGACAATGTCATGAAAAACCACAAAGGCTGGTAACCTCATGTACATTGTTGACCCTGTTTTCCACAATGACTATGTGGACAAAAGATGTGAGGCATACTCGCATCACGCAAGTAAATTTTTTTAATTAATTTATTTTAAATAAGTTAAATTATTTTACTTTTTTTAAATAAATTTGCTAATTAGTTAATTTAGCTCAAACTCAAAATATGATTTTTCTGTATCTAATTTTCAATCCAAAGTCAATTTAATCAAATTGACCTAAGTTTTATCCAAATCTGTTACTCTACTACAGTGTCGTTTCTACTATTCTGAAAAAAATCGAATTGAAGTTTAACGCCTCTTTTAATTATTGTGAGCTCATTATCTTATTTTTATTGTGATTTTAACCATCAAATCTATGAAGAACTCAGTAAAAAGAGACGCAAAAGACACATACAATTGGATTACGTTATTTAGTAAGAGTTAAGATTGAATATATCATTAATTGAATTAATGTAATTTTGTAAATATTAAAAGATTTAATTATAATACGAAATCTAGAAACCGAACTGAACCGAATTCGAACGGTTTCATAATTAAATTTGGACTCGACAGTTTCATTTACTAAATATCCGAAAATTTCAAGTCTGGTTTAGTTCTCATTAGGACCAAACCGAATTGAACCATGTCCAACCATACTTGAGCTCGAGCAAACCATGTGGACGAGTCGACCTCGAGCACGACTCATGCTCAAGTATTGTGTCTCATAAGCCCAAATGTGTAGACTTCATTCTTTTGAAAAAAAATTGTTTAAACAAATTAACAAAATAAACTCAAGAGCCAGCAATTTTTTAAACAAATTAATAAAAGAAGATCAAAATTATAAAAAAAAAATTGAGTGGGCCCACAAGCTGACTCGTGGTTTTCATGTGCCAAACAGATTCAGCTCGTAATTTTTTTTTTAGCTCGACTCAACTCATGGCTTGTCTTAAAACGAGTTGAGTTCACGTTGACCCATTTGACACCCCTATTATTTAACGAGGTGAAATTTCATTTTTATAAAAATTAAATAATTATTTTAAAAAATTAAATTACTAATATAATTCTCAACCAATATCTTGAATTATTACATATGTAATACGAAAATGGAGTTGTCAATGTTGTACCTATGGAAAAGAGTGGAAAAAATTGCACATAAAAAAATATGGGCTTCACTCCTATCTCGACCCCTAATACGCATCTTTATAGCAAAACATTGCATTGTGGTACACACCTTTAGGGCTTGGTTGGGAGTGATTTTTCTCCCAAAAAATTAATTTTTTGACAGTTATTTCACTATTTCAGTCGCCATATTTGACTTATTCTCTCATAGGTAGACACCACTTTTCTCTTAACAATCAAAAAATCAATTCTCAAAACCACTCCCAAATATGCTCTTATTGTGTCGTTACAATTTATAATTGACTTCAATATGGTTGCTTTATCGCAGGAATTGCAAAAATACACATTTTTGTAAAAATGAGAAAAGAAATAAAATATGAAAAATTCACTGTCAGGAGAGATGCAAACAAATAACGGAATAATTCTTCTCCCAAAAGCAAATAAGTGAAACGCCTCTTTTGACAATTATATATGCTGAAAATATTCTTTAAAAAATCAATCACACCAAACCACAAGAATACAAGCAATTATTTTACGTAAAAAAACTTTCCCGATATGAAGAATAAAAATCACATAACCCAGTTCAATCAAAACCTCC